AGTTCCTGTTAATTCCCAGGAAATACTTTTAACTGAAAAGCTCTTCTTTCCAACTGGATTTCTGAACTATTTTATATAAAGACTGCTATATCCTTTTGCTCTTTATTCCTAGAATAAATATAAAAGAAACATTACATATATTATACATGTATATAAAAAAACTATTTTTATATTCAAATTAATTTTTGGCATTTATGTTCATAAATGTACTTAAAACAGCTACAATATTATTCCATGCAATACACGACTTCACGGTTAATGACCCCATATTGAATAGGGGGCAGATTTTCATACTGGAGGTGAAAATGGTATGAAAAATACTAAAAAACATCATTGAAACAGAACAGCCACTTGGAAACATGCATAGGTTTTCCCATATTTTCATACCATTTTCCAGAAAATCTGCCCCCTATCCAATATATATGGCATCATTAGTTAACAAAGTTCTGTATTTCATCTTATATTATTTTTTTTAGATTTTTTTAAAGACTAAAGACACTTTTAAGACAGACTATTAAATTTAAATGTTTCTTTGAAGTAATAATATGTATGGCTAAAGTCAAACTTGTCTAGACTAAGTGGCCGTAATGAGTCACAGCTATTTATTTTACAGGGGGCCAGGGGCGTAGCAACTTTTACTGCAGGCACATTCGCCATACCAATTATTTTTTAAACACCTCATTGCCATACCAATTATTCTTATGATATGGCACAAACCCTTCTAGAAAGGACATTTTGCCGTAAAAATATTAAATACTTTCCCTGCTACGCCTCTGATTAATCCCTTTTGAACTCTGTGTCCCGACGGCCAAGTCAGAAAATACTTAAATAGCTCCCGACACATTCAAAAGGGGGTTACGCCTCTGATTATCAGAGTGAACTCCATTTCAGAGATACTTATTGCTATTATAATCATTTCCAATTATCTATGTCTATGTCTACGTAGTGTACTGTACGTAAATGTCTTTTTTTTATGTGGCCAGTGTGGGGGAAAAGGACCCCCCCCCTTTTTTTTCCCCAAATACATAAACAAAACAAAACCGTAATCGTATTTAAAGGATCCGGTAAGTCTTAGAAAACATTAACCAAAATGATTAAAGGAATCATGTGCAACAACCTCAAATATAAGTGAATATATCACATGCATTTTTGCGCGGTTTCTGCAAATTAAGTGAAAATCAGTTCAATGCCAATGGAAATGCTCACAAACGTCATCAACATTTTGGTGATATGATGCATAAAAGAATAAAATATTAATAACTTAACTTACCTCAAACTTGCTGTCACTCGTCTTGCATCTATAAAGTAAATATTAATCGACCTTCGGCGTCTCTCAAATTTCCTACCTAGCCTGCGGAAATGTTACAATTACTCTAAAAGAAACACGAATCCGGATACGGTCTGATATTACGGGAAGTTCTCGTTTTTACATGTTTCGGTTCCAATTAAAATTAATGTTTACATTGTTTATAATAATGTACAGACGAGAAGCAAAATACTTTTCTTTAAATACAAAATATTTATTGGCACAAAGTCATTAATTATAACAATGAATGGTTCCATTGAAAAGTCAGTCCTGTACAGTAGTATTGCATATAATAATATTTAAACAGACATATATTTATAATGACAAGTTTATAGGATATTTAGAAAAATGTGAGTGGAAATAATTAAACCATATTACAATAATCACATGCGATGTTTTAAATCTGAATTAGGATAAGAAAAAATTGACATGAAAAAATATCACGGCCTTTTCACTGGTTTCAACAACCAGTGAAAAGGCCGTGATATTTTTTATTAAGCATGAAAGGACAAATTATCACGGCCTTTTCACGGGATATTGAAATTTCACGGTCTTTTTCTAACATCAAATATTTTTCACGGCCTTTAGAAATATTTTTTTTACAAAAGTCACGGGGTATTTTCACGGGATTTTCACGGCCCTGTGATATTTCACAGACATTTCACGGCCTTTTCATGGGCTGTTGTTACAGTAGTGCTAATAGAACGAATATTTTTAAATTACAGAAGGTATATGTTTTATAAAACGATTAAAGCATTGCTTAAACGGTATACCTATCTTTTCGATTTTTTTACATTTGATCATGGTGTTTTCTGTCCTCTTAAATGCATATATATGTAGATATAATTTGTATTTTCTCTTAAATATACTCTTGCTTTTCCTTTAGTTTTAGACTAGATTTAAAAAAACTTGTATACATAAAAGATGTTTTAACGTAATCATATATGTGTTCTAAATGTGGAAATACATTTTCCTTTCAATGATTAAAACTATATATTAACTCTACAGAAAAATTAGTGAAAAAAAAGTTGACTATTTACTTCTGTGAACTAATTTTCTAATTCAAAATAAAATCATTTGGCGACATTGGTACATTCCAAATGGGTGTTTGAATTAAACAAGTAAACCTCTCCATGATTTATTTATGAAAAATCTAAAAAAAAACTGCAACTTGAAAAACTCAGTAAAGATACGTCTTATCATTAATAAGACTTTTCCTTAGCTTGATTATATTTTTACTCTTTATGATCAAGAATTTGATTATATTGCTGGACAAATTTGACAAAGGGAACTCGATTTAAATAAATCTAATATTAATAACAATAGTTGTCCTTTTCGAAATTTTGATATTTCATTTTCACAGGGGAAAATCAAATTAATAATTTACGACAAAAGACACGATTTTATTATTTTTAATTTTCCTGTTTTGGGCGGTGATGTTTGTTTCACAAATACAAATATTTTTATTTAAAGTTTTACTATAGCTGTAGAAATCTTATTAAAACGGTGTATTACATCCTATTTTTAACGTTAAAGGTGCCAATTTTACTGCTCCAGATGAGCATGTTGACAATAAATATCTCGTCAGTGATTCTTGAGGCCAAAATATTTGTAAATCTAAGCCTTATTTAAAAATTGAAGAGGTGATAAAACCAAAGAGACAAAAAGTAGATCCTGTGAATAAACTTATTCTTAAAATTTCAGACACCGTATTCATATCTATGAATATTGTTTTAATCAGTACTTATATTTATTTTGTTTTTGATAAATTAAAACATAACTAAATACGTATTGCTATAAATTACGTTTCTACATCCTGTCAGTATTATGTTCATTGATGTTGGGACGACAAAATTGCAAAAATAAAATGACAGAATTGCACAACATCATTCTTTTCTCAGACTGTTTATGTTAAAATTAAGAATATAAATTTAACGTGCTAATAGATATGAAATATAGTTCAAGAATCATAAAACTAATAAATAAATGCATAAAACACACATATATAATTTTTACCAGTGAATATGAACAATATCGCAACCAAATGTTGAAATTATATCAACCAATAAGATGAGTGTTACGAGAATTGAAAACAATCTGAAAGCAAACAATAAGACGATATATTTGTCATTGCTTCAAATGACAAAAAACCCGCTTACCTAAAGTTTTATCCTTTTCTTTTATTTATCTATTTATCATATCAGTATACTATTCTGTTTCAGGCATCGATTAAAATAAAAAAGAAAAGTTGGCTGCTAAAAAACAAATTAAACCAAACCAAAACAATTTGACGAAATGCTTGGCACTTTACTCTTGTGATTACTACCCATTAAACCCATACGTTATGTATAATACACCTGAATGCACCTCTGATGAGTTGAACTAAAATTCAGTTGTCAAAAGAATTAATAATTTACTTATTTGTTCACGTCATATGTATCTACACTTATACCTAGACGATGTGTACTAACAATAAAACAATGTTTAATCGTTTCCTATAAAAATGCTACTTCAACAAAAGTATTTCTACACAGTTTTATTCTGTTTTATGATTGTCTGAAAAATATAAAACCTCTACATTATAAATGATAACCAAACGGTTATTGATCCCATATTACTTATAGTTCATTGATTTCACAATGTTAAATCTTTACAGTAACACAAATGTTTCATAGTTTTAAAGGATATACAATGTGATTGGTTATTATATCTATTGGTTCGACTAACGTCACCTAGAAGCGTCAGTTCATTGTTTTTGCTACTAACTGTACCTTCAAATAAGGAATGACCAGGGATAGTTTCGATTAAAACAACGTAACGTTGTTCGGATTCAACCTCTGGTTGATAAAACAGATTCAACAAAGTCTTTCTACTAAAGTCTTCTCTGTGTTCTAAACCCGTTTTGATTTCCTGGGCTTCTTTAACTTGATACAAAGATAAATTTGAGCATTTGTCTTTAAATTGTGCAAGTTTAATGTTAATTGAATTCACAATAAACTTTCCTATATTTATCATACGAGTATTTACTGACACGTTGTGTGATGTATAACATGCACAAAAATGTTCTGCTATAGCAGCGTCAGAACATGACCTATCTTTTGGTATCTCCCTTAAAAGACTTATCCCTCTCGGATACGGTCTTTTCATAACTTCCTCAGAAAACGTAAAATTTTCATTAAGTATGTCCACGAAAGTTTCATGCAAATCAAATGGTGACGTTAACTTATTTTCGTTGTCTTTTAAATTTGTATGTATATGAGGGTATTTCTTCTTAATTTGTTTAGGAATAACAATGCTTAACCATGGCATACGCTCTTCTATTCTTCCAATGGCTGTATTTCGAATTTCATCCGTCCTAGGACCATGATCTCCAAACAAAATAAAAATTGTATTCTTGAAAAGTCCTTCTTTATAAAAATATTGAATCATTTGTTCTATATCATCATCGGCAAGTTCTAAGAAATTCATATAATCATGCCCTATCTCTGTTAACCATGACAATCCAAATTTCCGATATCCTTTATAAGTTGATACAAAGTTTTTATAGTGATCTATATGTATTGCATGTTTTGGACGACTTTTATAACAAAGAGATGAATATTTTCTCATTTTAATATCTTTATCTTCCAGGAACATAAACACTTGGTCCAAATTCGATTGCACTGGGTGCAATTTTTTCCTTGCTACGTAGTACGGTCTAAGGTAATGATCTACCGGAGAATCTATAAAACCCTTTTGCATATAATTAAACATGCTTATTTCTGGGAAATCTTCACTGAACATTGTAACATATCCTTTTTGGGAAAAGTTTTTCCATATAAAAGGGTAATTATCGGTGAATTCTTTCCTAGGGTCTAACTTCGGTAGTTCATTGCTGTACGCAGTTTTTCCGGTCAATGATGCAATCAGGTTTGGATATGTGATTGCTGCAATACTTGTGTAGCCTTTGAAAGTGTATCCATTAAGCTTTTTGATTAAGTTCATAGTTTTAGGTAGTTTCCGCTGTGCAGCCAATCGCGACACTGAATCAAGTCCAAATATCAATACACTAAAGCATTGTTCATTTTCTTTTAATATTTCTTTACTCTTCCGAACTGTTTTATAGTCAACATTATGCAGAACAGTATCATACAGAAGTCTGTGATCATCGAAACATTTAACATTTACATAATCTGAAGGAATATACACTGGACGTAAAAACTTGACTTCCTGTGATAGTGTTACATCATTGTCACCGGAACGTTCAATCAAACGATAAAAACAATCGAAAGGGTTGTTATTCTTTGAAACTTCACTTCTGTTCAGTTGTAGTTTTCCCATCTTGTCAATATAAACAATGGACGGAGATGGTTCGCAAACAATTGGCTTTGGATGCCATATATACTTCATGACTGATTTGTCAAAAGGATCAATGTCTGGTAAAAGGCACGTACTGTTTACACTTTGATGAACAAATATGAATCGAACAGGTTTGATATATGAATTCATAAATATCAATAAAATCACAATGAAAAAAATAAACAACGTTGTTTTTATTCCTCTTGTATTCCACTTATGTACATACATATTGACAATTTCTCTACGTAACACTGAAGACACTATTGTTGAATATTTCACTGGACACATAATTGCCTTTCTAAGGAAATGAATCATCTTACGTTGACGTTTCCTAAATATCCCATCTATCGTATTATTTATATATATATCAACTTAATTTGGTACTGGAAATGTCCACATACAATTATTCCATAAAGACTGTAATTATAAAATAATTCACAAATAAAGGTATCAAATATATTCTAATATCAATTGGGAGATGTTCATTGTAATTATTGGATTAATGTACTGTATGTAATTCTATATTAAAACAGCTGTTACTGATATCGGTATACCGCTATTTTGTGCATATATTTTAAGTTGCCTGTATTTTGACTTTGACCTTTTTTTGAACAGGTGAAACACGTTTATATCCAAAATTGTAACATGAATGATTATTTTTCCTTTGATCTTCGAGTGAGTTTAAGTCTGTTATTTCAAGAGGAGTGCGTTTACTGAATGATTTTTTTTTTAGTTTTTGCACTCTACAATCCCGCCTTTGGTCTTTTTTCATAGGAAAAGCAAACAATGGGCATACCACCACCACATTGTTGGCTGCTTTGTCGGCCGGTACAAACACAAACCTCTTTGAAAGTACTTGAAGTTTGTTTCTTATTCTAAAAACATGAGTATTATGTACTCTTTTATTTATTTCTGAATTATTTTCAATATGTGATATTCGAATATCCAAAACATTTATACTTTTATTTAAATGAGAATCAAGAAATATTTTATCAGATTTTTCCCGTTTACATAAATTTTTACAATACGATGAAAGAGCGTCTTTTGTGACCTGACGACAACGTTTCCAATCTATTTTAGATGGAGGACGATATTTTGGTCCCTTTTTCATTTTGTTTTTCAAAAAGTTTTTAACCTCTCGGTCTTGAACGATATTGAGGTCTCCGTAATAACGTGGCCATAGGGATCATATCTAAAATTCTACGATTCACAGTCTAAAGTTAGAGGAGTATTATTTTCTACATTGACGACTGATGTTACTGGCGTATAATTAAAAATAAAACTTCTGCTGGGTTTTTGTATGTATACGAAATAATAGGTGGTTCTGTGTTATCAAAATAGGTAAGTATAAAGTTTTGAATGGCAGAATCATTAAATATACTCGATAAGTTGATGAAATCAATACCTTTGTTAATATATTTAATTTTCAGAAAATGCCGTTTATGATCTTCAGGTTTATCGATACGCGGGAACAGCCTATGGTGGCAAAAAGCTGTAATTATACGCGAATATTCATAGAGTGGGCTGAAGAACGAGATTGCGTCACACTCCTTAAAAATATCATGTAATTTACTTATTGGTATTTGACCCAGTCTACATAATAATTGATGCCTACCATTGTTTTTAAATATAGATAGATCACCAAGTGTATAATTTAAACGATGTTTAATTCGTTGATTTCAATAGATACGTTTGCCATGAGACCTATTATTACGTTGTCTTTTATCAACAATATTGATGATATCAATAGAAGGAGTTTTAGATATGTTCCATTGTCCAAGTATATTGTCGCTATTGTCTACAGTCGTTTAATCCAAGACAGTTCGATAATTTTACGGGAATCTTCAAATTGTTTATGCGATTGCTCTTGTTTCTGTGTCGTTTCGAGTGGTTGGAATCTTATAAATTTAATATTGTGATTGTGTTTACCTAAATGTTGGTAACTTATACTTGAATTTCTTAGGTTTTCGGAAGCGGTATAGAAGTTCCTGTGTTCGTCTAAAAAATTCCCGTACTGTTTGTCCTACATATTGTATACCACACTTTAGCTTTGTTCAAGTAACCAGATAAATGAGGCTTTGAGTTTTTCATGTAATGTCACAGGAAAGGGAAAGCAAAATAGCTCTCCCATTCAACGTTGACCTAACAGTATTATTAGAAGATAATCTAGAGCAGATTAGTCATTTATTGGCATTGCACGGGAATATTTGTGGATATCCAAGTGCATTTTTATTTGATAATCTGGCTGCAGCAGCATTGTCACCTTTGACACAATTGTAAAAAAGTGCTAAATTTAGAAGGGGAATTTCGTTTGACGGCGGTTAAATTTATATTTGGAATCAGGTTTTTGGAGCACGTGAATATCCTTGAAGGAGTGGTGTGTTTTGTTTTCTTGCCATTTTGTAAAATCATGATTTATTAAGGGTAATGAAAAAATTAAATTAGGCCGAAAGTCATAACATTGAATAAGGATTACAATAACGGAATATGTAAGCAATTTATTAAGCAGTTGAAGAATTCTTACAAAAACTATATTGAACAGCCCGACAGTGTGACGTTAGCAAAACAAAACAGACATGTAACAAACACTGGTCCGAGAAAACAGTTATATAGTAGTGCATTTATTTCAGACAGAAAACGCAAATTTAAAAACTCGCACCTGCTCTATCCAAAAAAGATTTTTACAGTGTAGTGCATTAGTATTGGGATAAATTATATCAAAATTATGGAAAAGTCTATAGAAGAGGGACGAAAGATACCAGAGGGACAGTCAAACTCATAGATCGAAAACAAACTGACAACGCCATGGCCAAAAATAAAAAGACAAACAGACAAATAATAGTACAGATGACACAACATAGAAAACTAAAGACTAAGCAACACGAACCCCACCAAAAACTGGGTAGACTGTCACTGAAATAAAGGACAATTTTATGTAGAGGGAGTGTATAAAACAGTTTGACAGCTTCAGATCTAGGCATACTAACTTTTGACCTTTTCAAACTGGACCAGATCACTACTTTACCTACATGTAATAAACTACTTCGCCGAGCGCAGATGGATACAACCACAGAGGTCCAACCCTGAACAGTTGGGGCAAAAGTGGACACAATATTCAAGCTTGATACAGGTCTGAATTTGGATTGTAATTAAATATTTGACACATTATAGGTTTCTGACACAGAATAAATGCAGCCAAAGAACTTGAAATTGGTTATATGATTTGAATTTATATTCAATTGAAGATTTCTTGCTTTTGTGCAATACACTGTGCTGTTGTGCAATAAATCTGTTTTCAGACTATTTACAAAGAATTAGCAAAATAAATTGTGACTCCCAATTTTTCTTTGGAAAATTGACAAATTCTTAAATCTTGAGGAAAATATTGACCCCCTCAAAAAAATTGCCTTCCTTTTGTGGTTTTGAACCTTTTTTCTTAAATTTCATAGAGATCCATACACTTAAACTCGGACGACGACGACGCTGACGACGGGGTCGTATAAAAATTACTCCAAATTGTTTATACATGTAATTTCACCTCCGTACTTACTATTTTAAGCATAGAATATATATATATATAATGTGCGCAAGTTATACACTGTCTGCACTAAAGACTCTATTTGTCAAAGGACGATAACTGTGTCCCCGGACCTAATAAAAGGCAAACAGAGAATGATATAAGAATTCTTAGTAAAACCATAGAAGAGGGCAGGGATAAAATACAATAAAAGAAATAGAAAATTTTTTGATTCATAAAAAAGAATGGCTAACGTAGATCTATCTATATAATTATCTTGTCTTAAGAAGGGATAAATGGTACTTTGCATAGAAAAAACCATTCTGATTCAAACATATATTTTTCTGAAACTGACATTAGCAAGATGCTTGATTTCATGATTAACAACATAATGTGTTACGTTTGGGAACGTGCTTTTCAACAAATAATCGGCATTCCTATGTGAACCAAATTTACTCCTCTTCCTACCGACTTGTTCCTTTGTTCATATGAAGCAAACTTCAAACAGGACCTTCCTAGGCAGATTGAAAAGCAGCTAGCCTTATTCTTTCACTTCACGTTCCGCTATATAGATGATGTTCTTAAACTAAATAATTCAAAGTTTGGTAACTATGTTGAGCTGCTACTATCTCGTCGAACATGAAATAAAAGATACAACAGATAGGGTTAAGTCTAACTCGTGTCTTGCCTTTATATCTTGACAATAAGGTTCGATTGATAACAAAACCTTTCGACAAAAGAAATGATTTCACCTTCCGAATTGTGAAATTTCTATGAAGCAGCATTCCAAGCGCTGCATATGGAGTATATATCTCCCAGTTGATACGATATTCCATAGCTTGCATTTCCTATCATTGTTTCCTTAAATATAAAAGGTATGATTGCCAATGAGACAACTATCCACCAGCGTTCAAATGAAGTGAACGTAAGCAATTATAGGCCAACATACGGCCTTCAACAATGAGAAGCACAATACCGTATAGTTGGCTATATATTTAAAGGCACCGACGTGAAAATATGAAAAAAAAATCAAATGAGAAAACTAACGGCCTGATTTATAACAGAACAGTTTACAAAAAACAAATATGACAGACATGAACCGACGACAACCACTGAACTACAGGCTCCTGACTTGGGAAAGGCACAAAACATGTTTGTGAGCGCTCATACTCCACCCCCACCCCCTTTTTTCTCCTAACGTGGGACAGTGGTGTAACATCATAACATAAGAACAAGCTGTTTAATCAGTTGCAATTGGCTTAACTCAAAAGATCGATGCAAGGCACAAAAACAACTAACATAAATAAACAACATACAAAAAACACAGAAATAAGAGTACTCGCGCAGTTACTGAAAACTAGTTCACTTAGCTAGTTTAACCAGTCAGTTAAAATAGATATTCGACTGAAAACGTTCCAGAAATATAAAAGTACAAAAATACGAAATGCATGGAAGGATATAAAAGCTCGCCTAAAATATCATTTGATAATTTATATTTCAATTCGTAGCAACAAAAAAAAATGATTGAAAGAAAGTATACCAAAGGAATTGAAATTTATCAATGTTTACATATTTAACTAGCCACGATATTTCCAGGCTTATAGGGGTACCTTGTCTAAAATTGGCTTTTTGCACATACTGAAACAAAACACTCTGTCATGTTATTATGATCTTTTTGTTGTAATAACAATGAAACTAGTCTTTTTGAATATCGGAATAATGAGACTATTTGATGACGACGGCACTAATTTATAAAATACAAAATTTTTGTATTTTATTGACGCTTAGTTATCTCCAACAGCGTATTTGAATACAGATTTCAAATGAATTAAATTTACTACAATACAAACGGTTCTTATCTATCTTTTAGAAAATCTAATTTAAACTTGTAATGAAGTAA